ACCAACAGAAACATCTGTCACTGAGTTTTGCTACAAAAGCGTGAATTTATCCCTCGAGGAACTTTAAAACATTAAAATAATACTTTTTCAAAGACATGAACTGTTCAGGTAGCCAAATTTCCTGAAATAAGTCACTTTTTTAACCATAATGACACCGTCATGTAAATGCCGCGTCACGCAAAAGCTTTGAAATCCAAGCATAGTGTCTCACAAAACCAAGAACCCATTCAGAGCGAAAATTTTTATGAATATTAGTTTTCAGCTGCTCTTATACATCATTAAAGTAAAATCTCAGGAAGATCAATTGTTTTGTAGTTTGAATTTTAGTGATGTCATGTGAAAACCAGCTATTTGTAGGCTTCAAGCAGGTCATTTAGAATTCACTCAGATTTTCCCTTTAATTTGGCGAACTTTCAAATTCTTTGTAAAAATATATCAGAGAAACCAACCACATCTTCCCATGGTCTTTCCTCTTTGTAGACCATATAAATGATGTCAGATAAATATTGAGAACTTTGTGGTATACTCACTTTTGAGCATTCTATGGTCTATTAAGCAGGCTTTGCAACAAATTAAATTAATAAAACACCAGATATTGGATTCATGGTTATTTTGTAAATGTTGCCTTTAATTTACAGACTTTCATGACTTTTCTACATCTTTCTCCCTATTTGCTTGTAGCATGTAATCTTCTAATTTTTCCAATAATCCTGGTGAACCATGTCTTCTGATGTAGGCCTACAAGAGTTGATAACAACAAATTAGGATATCGCTCATTTAGGTGCTGCTGCTGAATACAGCTTACAATTCAGCTGAACTCCAACTACAGGCACACCTTACAAAAATTTGCATCATCTAGCTACTACGTAACAAGACCCAACAAAACTACCTGCTTTGTTGGCTAACAAATTCTGTAAGTCTCCAAACAACGTACCATGATTGTAACAAGATAAGAAAAATGCAAGATGGGGGTGAGGAACCACATAAAAATACATGCATAATCTCCTGTTTTGTTTTGTTTTTGGCTCAAGATAATCAAAATCTTTATAATATGGAGCTTAACTGAGGTATCATGAAAAGATGCAATATAGCCAAATCTACTGTACTAACAATGCTTACCCGAACCATAAAAAAGCCTTTCAAGTTATTACGGTGAGCCTGTTCCGCTATCGTGCTTTTTGGATGACAGAGGTGATGCAGTCTCACCACTTGGATACAATCATCCCACCTGCCAGTAAAATAAGTAACATTAAGTGTGATGGATATGAAATTTCCCCTGGAAGGTCATAGAACATTCCGAGGAGGTCAGCCATCTCAAAAGCCAAACATTTTAAAGCTAAACTTGAATTTCCAGAGGGGTAAGAAGGGGTGGGGGTCAAACCAAACAGCCTTTTATAGGGAGGGTATGGATATTTTCGGGAAAAACACAATTTTAATTTGTTATAATTTGATTTGATCTAATTTGAGCCTCTGTATGGATGTTCCGTTGTTCTTTCTTCACCAAGTNCTACTTAATCACTTAATTGAAACAACTTAGTATTAAAAGACACAAGTCATGTTAGTCCAAACAAGCAAGTTTCAATTTCTTACAATTCTCTCTCCATCATGTCATCCAGTATTTCTACAATCCTTTGACTTTTTGCGAGATAATAAACTAGTCCTCCAAAATGGCGTGTTGATCTCAAAACATCAAATTTCTTATCCCTAAAGATGTCTTCATATGTCTGGTGGTGAACCTAGTATATTAAAACAACAGTTGTAAAACACTTCACAGAGTTTTTAAACTGATGGTTTCTTTCTCACTTGTCTGAATTTTCTGTGACCTCTGTCAACCTCCATCAGAGAGAACCAAAGAAAAGTTGACTGAGACCACAGAAAGTTAAGCAAGAGATGCAGGGCGAATACTCAAACCAAGGTCACCCGACACAATTTTCCACAAATTTAACGAATTAACATTGTGGAGGTTAACAATAGTTTTTCAAGACATTATCTAGTATGTAATCAAGCTGTACATTACAAAGGCAACGCATTTGTGTTCATTTTGGGTGATTTGTTGGGAAACTATTGTTAACCCCCACCATTTTCATTCATTAAATTTGTAGAAAATTTTGTCGGGTGGCTTTGGTTAGAGTAGTCAGACTGTAAACCTAAGGTGAGATTAATAGATCACTTAAGGGAAGACCAACAACTTACAATTTTAAAATTCTCCAGGGTACATGCTCCTGGAATCCCCTAGCTTGCCCTAGCTATACCTTTCAGGCCACGCTTTACATCATCTGTTATTGCTTTCTTGGCTGCCTGTGAGTTTTTTGACCCATGGTCCTAAATTGAGACATGTAATGACTGAAATGTACTGAGAGCCCTTTGTAATAACATTCCTGCTAAGATTATAACCACCACTCACCCTTATGTAATCTGCTGAGTCAGGCTCAAACTGTACACAGGCCAGGTCAAGAACGTCTTCATGCCGGTTCTGTTGAAATACAGTCTGCAAGAAGAGTATAAAATAATCAATGTTTGCAATTAATAATCATGTAAATAGCCAGAACCCTGTTTGAACTCCATACAAACTCTAAAAACTGTTCACTCCTTCTCCTCAGTGGACATTCTTGTAAGCGGCTGTGGACACTTGGAGGGCTTATGATCTAGACTTTTCCTTTGTTTTTAAACTCCCATAAACAAACTGTAAAGGAATTGGGTCTCACTTTGAAAGATAATTGTAAACATTTGGAAACTTTATCACTACTTTTTGTTGCAGTGAGACTGTTAAGGNGTCCTCCAAAATGGCGTGTTGATCTCAAAACATCAAATTTCTTATCCCTAAAGATGTCTTCATATGTCTGGTGGTGAACCTAGTATATTAAAACAACAGTTGTAAAACACTTCACAGAGTTTTTAAACTGATGGTTTCTTTCTCACTTGTCTGAATTTTCTGTGACCTCTGTCAACCTCCATCAGAGAGAACCAAAGAAAAGTTGACTGAGACCACAGAAAGTTAAGCAAGAGATGCAGGGCGAATACTCAAACCAAGGTCACCCGACACAATTTTCCACAAATTTAACGAATTAACATTGTGGAGGTTAACAATAGTTTTTCAAGACATTATCTAGTATGTAATCAAGCTGTACATTACAAAGGCAACGGATTTGTGTTCATTTTGGGTGATTTGTTGGGAAACTATTGTTAACTTCCACCATTTTCATTTGTTAAATTTGTAGAAAATTTTGTCGGGTGGCCTTGGTTAGAGTAGTCATACTGTAACCCTTAGGTGAGATTAATAGATCACTTAAGTGAAGACCAACAACCTACAATTTCAAAATTTTCCAGGGTACATGCTCCTGGAATCCCCTAGCTCGGCCTTTCAGGCCTCACTTTACATCACCTGTTATTGCTTTATTGGCTGCCTGTGAAAAATTATACTGAGAACCCTGTTTTTTGACCCATGGTCCGAAATTGAGACATATAATGACTGAAATGTACTGAGAGCTCTTTGTGATAACATTCCTGCTAAGATTATAACCTCCACTCACCCTTATGTAATCTGCTGAGTCAGGCTCAAACTGTACACAGGCCAGGTCAAGAACGTCTTCATGCCGGTTCTGTTGAAATACAGTCTGCAAGAAGAGAATAAAACAATCAATGTTTGCAATTAATAATTATGTAAATAGCCAGAACCCTGTTTGAACTCCATACAAACTCTATAAATTATTTACTCATTCTCCTCAGTGGACATTCTTGTAAGCGGCTGTGGACACTTGGAGGGCTTATAAGCTAGACTTTTTCTTTGTTTTTTAACTCCTGTAAACAGGCACTGTAAAGGAATTGGGTCTCACTTTGAAAAATAATTGTAAACATTTGTAAACTTTATCACTACTTTTTGTTGCAGTGAGACTGTTAAGGCTAATGTTACTGCTGGCTGTAATATTATGATTTGTTCTTTAATCATTAAGGGCCTGTCCCAGTACCACACTATGCAGTACTGTGTACATGCAGTTATTGCCATTATCGCAGCATTGTACAAGGCAATAATTAAACAAATAATAATTTGGTAGTATTTTTGCATTACCAATGTTTATTGTAAGTTGCACCAGCTCCCCTAGGCAACCATCTTTCCCTTACAACTCTAGTGGCCACTTACAAGAACTATTCTCATCAGTGGCTTTTTCACGAGTGTCTAATTTCCAGTATATTTCACTTGCTTTTTAATTTCTATTTGCTTGGTTCAAAATATGTGAATTCTTGTTTTGGTTTTACAGCCCGCCTAGTCCCAGGCTTCCAGCTTGGGTTGTTTCTGACCCAACTGGATGTGAAATTCCACCTCTCCAGACAGCTAAAACGTCATGAAAAAGGATATCCTTTTTCTTTTGCGATTTACATTTCACTTTCCCATTTAGATTTAAACAAGCAAATAAAAGCATATCACATAATTAAGATCCATATAACTCTTCCTGTTAATGGCAAGTCATAAATCAGTAACAAATTGAATAAACTTACATGAGGATGCATGTAAAAGATTTTACCTCCTCTGGTATTTACCTACATGTACCCAACATTAACTAGCAACCAGTGCAAACACTACAAAGTTTCTTACAACTGTAACATAAACAGGACAAAACTTCACACTACCTCAAGTACTTCATCCTTGAGAAGTTCTGGCATTTCATACTTTCTCCCGGGCTTGGGAAAGTATATAAAATTCATTCTATCTCTTTCTTCCCACGTTGCTTTACGTAACCTTCCACTTGGTTCTCTTATTGTTATAGATCTTGTCTGGAAATAAAATAATATTCTAGATAACTTACTTTAGATGTTATGTACTACAGTATATGTGGATTGTTTTGTATTGCTAATGAAGGGTGGCAAATGGCCCTTTAAAACCCTTTTTTTTTTTAAAAAAAAAAAAAAAAACTTTTGCAAGGCTAAGAAAGTCTCCAAATCCTGATTTGTTTGTTTGCATCTGAACGTCTGAATGGCTAGAGTCTAAATGTGCTAGCTAGTCTCACCTGAAGTCTCACAAAGTCTTGCTTTTATCATTCACCACCCCATAATGTGGGAAAGGAAAGGGTGAAAATCAGGTTCTCAGATACTTCCTGCTGACTGAAGTATTTCCAATTTAGACTGACAGTGTTATTATTAGTACTCTCAAAGGTAACTAGTGCTTGCATTTAAAGTTCAAGAAGAAAATTAAATTGATGGGAATCCCTCTATTCACATTAATTTGAGAAAGCTTCATGAATATGAGCAGTGGTTTGCAGGCAATTTCAAGCAACTCCTCTGATCTGACAGCAGAACACTTAACTGTATGTTTCCACATTTTCTTTATAGTGTTGACATGCATCTGTTGACTCCAACAGTGTCCACAGAACATAGAAATATAGAAATGCAAGTAGCAGCCCCACAAATACTCCTCAAAGTGATCACTGTACCACTCTACATTGTGGAGTTTCAGAAAATATCCATACCTCCCCCATGGAAGGGATTTTTTCTAAGACCCCCCCCCCNTTTTCCAGGACCTGAATGATGTTTCCAGGACTCCAAAATTCACATAAATCCTTTCATTCCCAAAATGTCAATATAGTTCTCCTTATTGTAAAATATCCATACCTCCCCCATGGAAGGGCTCTCCCCTCTGGAAATTCCAATTAAACTTCATATATTTCTTTTGATTTTTTGGTCTCAAAGAAACATCCCCCTTCCCCCTTTCCACACTCCCAGGAAATCCCATACCCTTCTGTGGGGGAGGGGGGAGTATGGATATTTTCTGGAACTGCACATTTAAAAACAAAAAATTATACAAAAACTTGTTTCTTACTCTGTCATCTACACTTGTACTGATATCTGTAAAGACAAAATTTGATTCCGAAAAATGTGCTAGCTCATCATTCTCTTCAATAACTTCATTTATCTCCTGTCTCTCATCCATTACTGGTGGCATTTCAAGTACATTGGCAGCTTTCTCCTTGATTTCATGTTGTGCCTAAGACATTGCAAACATTCCCTTATAATATGAGTTTAAAATATATAGCTTAATACTACTATGCCTTTCAATAACATGCAAACTCTCAGACTCTTTCAATGACATACCATAGTTGACAGTCACAAACTTAAACTAGTAACATTCAAAAAAATTAAGTAAAAAGCTAACATTATGAAGAAAATGGAACACTTTTCAGGACCGGCTCAAAAGCTGCCATGACAGCATGACAACCACTGACCAATCCTCTGAAGTGCAAAACCTAACTAAAAATAGTATGATTTTTTGGCTACCATCAATCACAACCCACAATTGACGTGACCTTTTGACCCCCCCTGAAGTAAACTTTTGTTACAGGAGGTCTGCTACAGTGATTGATGGCAGTAAAACATGAAACTCTTGATTGGACACAGTTTATTTGTTATCCAAAGGTACAGTACATTTAGTATACTTAAAGACTAAACAATATTAGAAAATAGCCCAAAGAAAATATGCACAGTTTAAAATTGTGTTTCTATCTAACAACTAGACTACAGGCCTAAGTCCTCCATGAGCGAATAGTCAACAAAAAAGACTCATAGAAAACTTGTTGTGTTTCTCGGCGAATAGAAAACAATGTAAGAACCAATCAGATTAACAGATCTCCAATGGAACACAGCTTAGTAGTTGCTAATGCTCGATAGAAACACGCTACATGTATTCCATTTCTTAAAGAATAATTTATACCATAGGACCCACATGAAGATGTGGCTTTTTCTCTAAATATTGTAATTTAATTATTTATTATCTGTTTAATATAATATTTATTCTAATAACTTGCAGGAAAATCTTTCGAAAATCTGAGAGTTCCTAATGATAACCAAAAAAAATAAATATCTTACCTCCAAATACTCTTCATCTGTCATTAGTTTGTATGATGGGACATCAAGATTTTGCTTCCGTGCAGCGAATATTTTGTCCAAGTTACGACCCGTGATTTTCTTTAATATCGTCTGAACTTTGTTATTATCAAAAGGGGGGATGTTATCATTTCTTTCTGGAGATTCATGGCTGCAAAACGTCCGTAAAAGTAGCGATCTAACTGGAAATTTGAAAACCCTTATGCATCTGCACGTGGCGGCCATTTTGGTTTTTATAAATAGCTGCTGACCGCTCTTGATCGACTGTTGTTGTGGTATTTTCTAGTAGGGGAGGGAGAATTACTCGCGAACTAAACGAAAGAATTTAAAACGTTTGAGAACACTCTTGAGGAAGCAAATTTACATATAAATAACTAAAATAGCATTTGGTTGAAGGATAAATTTTTTACCGCATACTTGCTATCAACGCTTCTCACATAAGCATCTCTGTGAGAAACCCACTACCGACCCCCTGGCCCTAATTACCTGTACCCAGGCAGGGATTAAAACCGCTAATACGAAGTCCAAAATGGCGGCCGCTTCAAGTTTGGTTCGATATTGCATGAGACATCCAGCTCGTATTCTCGTTATAGGACTTCTTTTAGTTCTGGTGATCGCCAGTAGATTTCTCTACTCTTCAGTTCCAGAAGATCAACCTATCCAGGAACTAAATCTTATGGCGGGAAATTTAGCACAACAACACCGTCTCAAAAATATCGACAGAAAACAGAACAGTCTTCAGAGTGAAGACAAACTTGATACAGATAGCCTGCGTATTTTGCCTGTGAAAAATGGCGAAAAAAGTGCCTCGACATTAAATGATTCAAACGATAGTCAACTCAAAGGGAAAGAAACTGATTCATCACAGACGTCGTTGCCGAAATCCAAGGAAATTAAAATAAGATTGCAAGAAGCTGATGATGAAAAAGCTGAAAACGACTTGACACTTCGCAAAATTCCGAATGATGGCATTCTGCACAAGAATTCAGGACAGCTATCACCGTTTGAGTTCGAAGCAAATGTTGAAGAAGTCACCAAGAAGAAAGTAGACGTGGGAGAAAAAGCTTTACCAAGTGACCTCAACAAGTCTGGCAAAAATACCAAACAAAATAGTCAAGGAACCAATGAGAACCATGCTGTACATAAAGGTAAAGAAAAGAAGAATAGAAAAAAAGATTTAAAGTCTGGTTTATCACAACAAGAAAACAATGTCTTGATGACACTTGCTAAAGTTGGACAGACAAGTCATCTAGCCAAAAGATTCAAACGCTGTGTTCTGTCAATATGCAAGCATGCAAGCATAAAGCTGTCGTTTCACATCATAGCAGATACACTTGGAAAACGCACTTGTGAGGATACATTCAATGAAGCTGGCAAAGTGTGTAAGAATGGTTTGAATGTGACATATTATGATGTTGACAAGGTCTCCAAAAAGGTGGAGCCAATCACAAAAGAAATTCAGGTGTGTGATTGATACTGACCAGGTTTCCATGGCAATCGTGTTGGAGGTGCCAAATGGCATCCGGTCACTTCACTCCACAGATAGATTGCTCCAAGTCAGTTCACTCCAATGCGTATATAGATTATTTCTTGTTCTTTCGTCCTCTGCCAAGCCCAACTTGGTTAGCTGAGGTAGTGAATGTGGCCTGTGTGGAGCAATCTAACTTTTAATTGGAGCAAACTGACTTGAAGCGATCTAACCAAGGAGCAAAATGACGGTAATTCTTCCAGACAAATGAACCTCCAATAATAACTTTGGGAGTAAAATCTGTGAGAGGGGTAAACTACTTATTGTAAATGGACCTGTTGAACCTCTCCATAATGGCCGCCTTGAGGGGAGAGGGGAAAGTAATTGTTGTAGAGAGAGAACCATTACTGGAGGTTCCACTCTTTACTTCAAACACATTGTACTTTCATTTCCATGTACACCAAATAGTTATGTTTTCCCCAGAGGTTCTGTTTATCACTTCATGCAGAATGAGTAAATTCTCAAGTAAACCTGAAAGTTTCGGCACACACACACAAAAAGAAAAACAGAAAGCAGGGGCACTATTCACAGAATAATAAAAAATGATAAAACAATTATTCCTCTATCACAACCAACATGAACTGCCCATTATATGTTCATGTTTAACTTGAAAAGTCCAATTCAACCATTATTTCTCCAATAAAGGTAAGTAAGTTTGAGAAAGTCAGTTTCTAAATGTTGATACTTGTATTAAATAGCACACTATTTTCTTTCCAGGATTTGTTCAGTAGCAGCAGTCATTCATATTACAACCAACCCTTATTCTTTTTATCCACTGCAATACATCATGTCTTACCCCAAAGCATGACGCGTGTCATCTCACTGGATTCAGACCTGCTTTTCAAGACAGACATAAAGCAACTGTTTGCAATTTTTGAGAACTTTAAAGCCACCACTATTTTTGGGTTAGCAAGGGAGCAGCAGCCAGTCTACAGACATATTTTGCACATGTACCGCGACAGAAATCCCGGCACCAAAGTTGGTGAACCACCTCCAGATGGACTCACAGGTTTTAACAGTGGTGTTATCTTAATAAACCTACGCAACATGCGTGAATCAAGGATTTATAACCTTCTTTTACACAACAATGCGGTAAAGGAGATTGCAGACAAGTACACCTTTCAGGGACATCTTGGGGACCAAGATTTTTACACATTGCTCAGCTTGGAATACTCTGCTCTTTTCTACATTCTCCCCTGTTCATGGAATCGCCAGCTTTGTACATGGTGGAAAGACCATGGTTATGCACAAGTTTTTCATTCTTACTACAACTGTTCTGAGCCTATTCATGTTTACCATGGAAACTGTCAAACAAAAATGCCCGATGAGTAAGTAATTCAGATCAGAGGAACATAAGAATCTGATTTTCTTGTTAGACGCAAAGATTACAGTCTGTCCAGGTGAGGACATTTTTTCTGCGTGGCATGACTTTTTCGTATTACATGATGTTCACTCACAACGTGTTTATCTTCAAAAGGAAAGCTTATCGTGTCGATTGCATCTAAAACAACTGGTCCAAATTTCTCCTGATCATATTTTATCTTCAGCTGATAAACAGCAGCCATGCTGACAGTTCTATGGCTGACAAAAAGCGCAATAAGCTTTCCTCCTGAAGATAAACATGTTGTGAATGAACATAATAATCATAATAGTACGAAAAAGTCATGATGCCACACAGAAAAAATGTTCTCACGTGGTGCATTTCAATGTACTACATGATTGGTTTGAAACAAACTCGCAGCATCGAAAACATTACTCTGAAGGTGGCAAAAAAATTGTGGGTGTCGTGGTCTACTGGGAAGAGTAGTAGTTCTAATTTGATGATGATGATGATGGTAACAATGTTTTCATAACACCAAGTATTTAGTCCTAGGTATCATTTTTCTCTCTGGTCATTGAAGATGTCTGCCCAGCTGTCAATCAGATGTAATAATCTACCGTAAATTGAAGCATGTGGGTGGCTATGTCAAGAGGGCTGCCCAAGAGTGCAGCACATGAAGTCTTGCTAAAGTTGAAACCCGACATCTTAAATCTTGAGGCCTGGTAGTGACTAATGATTGTGCAACTCCCTTTGAAATATGCGAACTTGCCCATGTTAATAAACATATTACCAGTAGTGTCTAACCCAAGCTTTTAGCCAAAATTGGAAAAGTAGGTGTCCAAAATGTGCCAATGGTCTACTCAAATGCATAATTTATAAAGTGACATGTGAAAAGATAAGACAATTTTCTTTCAAAAGTGGGCATCCACAGGATGCCTGAACACCCATCTGGTAAAAAGCCTGATCCATCCCATACGTTCTTTTGGTTGCTTGTGAATATGTGATGAGCAAAGAGAATATCAGCGTAGGAGGCTGCGAAACTATCAAGCTCATTCTAAGGATATCTCTTCCTCTCTCCCCCAAGCGCAAAAAGAGACAGTGACAAAAGATTCATTGGGAAGGATCTCTCCTGATGATTTTGTTTTGTCAGCAAGACACATGACTTGCCCTGACCAGGGTGTGTCTGTCCCACTATTGGCTGCAGAAAGAAGAGATGCCCGAAGAAAGAGGAAACTATAGGAGCAGGTGGATTGGTTGTCACTTGCATAGCATTTCCATTTCTCAATAGAGTGGTTTTCAATTGAGTGTCGTAAAAACAAAACCAGAGTAATTACCCTACCCAATCACAAAGGACACAGACAATACAGTAAGCAAATCAAAACTCAAAGTAATTAAGGTAGCTGACGCAAAGCACGGGAAAATGCATTCAAATGCATCACAATTGGTTTTGGTTGTACTTCTGATTGGATTGCGCAAGTTTTTTAAGCCAATCGTGTGGCGTAGAAAGTGCAAAACCATTTACTTTTCGACACTCAAATGAAACCGCTCTGTTATAAAAGCTATTAAATTAACGAAGAAAGCTTCAATTCTTAAAGTAGGCAGAGCTTAAAGGAACAGCAATGCAAGTAGTTGCTCTGTGTACTGCAATCCCCCTCCCCCCCCCCCTCCTCTGCCCCTCCCCTTCCCCCTTAGTCTGGGGTGTTCTACACTACCACAGCCATACCCTGGCCATGCAATAAACATTTTGATACACACATTTTGGAATGATTGTTTAATTTTATTTGAAGGTTTCCAGGTATATTATAATAATGCTTGTAAAATAGTATAAGAATTCCTGTATAATAATGATAA